CCGCGGGCCCCGGCGCCGCCGGCTCGGCGTCCGCAGGAAAGCAGTGCTCGGCCGGACCGTGTCCCGCCGCGCACCAGAGTTCCTCCGCCGCCGCCACCACGTTACCCTACGGCTACTTCAGTAACGGGTACTACCCGTGCAGGATGGGGCGGGGTTCGCTCAAGTCGTGCACCCAGGCGGCCGGAGCCGCGCTCAGCTCTCAGTACATGGACACCACCGTGAACGCGGACGAATATTCGAACCACCGCGCCAAGGAGTTCGCCTTTTACCACGGCTACCCGAGTCCGTACCAGTCCATGGCCAGCTACCTGGACGTGTCCGTGGTCCAGACACTCGGCACCGGCGAGCCGCGTCACGACACCCTGCTCCCGATGGACAGCTACCAGCCCTGGGCCCTGACCAACGGCTGGGGTGGACAGATGTACTGCTCCAAGGACCAGGGTCAGGCCGGACACCTGTGGAAGTCCGCTCTCGCTGGTAACGCACCTGAATCCGCTCTGACCTTTGAACCGCAGCCGGGTCTGAGGTTGACGGTTAGAGTCCGCCTCTGTCTGTCAGCTGACACCGGAGGGAGCCGTTTATTTTTAGCCCCCGTAGCCTCAGTTAATCGTTAATTACGATCACGATTAATGAGACGCACATTTCGATTAAACGACATTGAAACAGACGAGACGTAGCGACGTGTGTCTCACATTAGAGTGAACTCGGTTTAACTGCAGTGACACGAACGGATGGTGTTTAAACCTTAATACACGTTTGATTGGTCTGTAAAACAGGTTTTTTTTAAAAGAAAGTCACAGAGAGGACAAAGTGTTAAAAAGAAAAAGAAGAAGAAAATAAATTAATCAAATAGTCCCGGTTCATTCGCCAAAGTCCAAAACAGTTCCATCTGCTCTGAGCGTGGTTTGTGCAACTGATGGCCCAAAACAAGACAAGCTGTTTGGACCTGGACCATCAGACTGTCAATACTGACATCACAACTGTGTGTGTGTGTGTGTGTGTGTGTGTGTGTGTGGTTGATAAAAACAGTCGCTCACATAGAAGTGATTTTTTTTAGTAGTTTTTTTTTAACCAAATAAAAACTAAGAAACTTAATTCACTGAGAGACAGAAGCTGGAACTATTTTTTTTAAATAGAGTTGACTTTGTTTGTTATTGTTTTTATTTTTATTTCACTACTTTTTTACAGTATTTACATTTCTACTAAATATATGCACAGAAAAGTTTGTTTACTTCTGGTGTTGGGCATCAATTAGAACTCAATACAAAAATACAAAAAAAAGTTGATGTGAAATTTTGTAAAAGTTCTGATAGAATTACGTGAAATTTTGTAAAAGTTCTGATAGAAGAAAAAAACGTGAAATTTTGTAAAAGTTCTCCAACTGAACTGAACTGTTTGACTGAGTGACAACTTAGTTTTGAGCTGAACCTGAAGTTTGATCCAGGACAAAACAGAGGCTTAAAAATAGTCACGGATTATTTATAATTTATATTATTTATTATTTTTGCACTGGAGACAGACAGACATCCGTCCTGTCCTCTGTGTCTCTCTGTCTCAGCTGTGGCAGAAATATTCAATCACTACTTTATTTTTATTTTATTTTTTTGCGTTGTTTACATGTTTTATATATATATATATTTATAATCCTCGTCTAATGTTGTCAGTTTTCATTCACTCCATGTTTAACTGCAGAACTGATCATCCAACTAGGCGTTAAAAACTTATTTTATTCCTGATTTTACAAATGAACATCAACCGTCAGTAGCCGTCAGTAATCAGCGTCACTCTCGGACATCTCGCGAGATCAGCTAACAAGTTCCTAGCACTGCTATAAAAATAAAAAATAAAAATATTCTCTGTTCTAGTCGACCTGACGTGTGTATTGTGATAATAATAATATTAATAATACCACTTTAAATCCCCCACAATCCTCTGCTGGTACTCGTGTGATTGCCATAATATTCTTATCACTTATTAATTATAAAGTATTGATTACTAGATCCTTTAAAAAAAGGACGTAAATCGGACGTAATGCCGCGACAATAATATAAAAATATCTCAGACAACAACAATAATTACTTTTACAATTATTATTCAACTATAATTGTAATTATTTAAAATCCTTTGAAGTAATGGTTCAATAATATAAAGAAATATAGATAAAATAAATAAAAATCGCATGTTAATATTTAAACGATTTAAAATACATAAGTAAAAATATTTTTAAAAGAATATTTAATAAATACATAAGTAAAAATATTTTTTTAAATATTTATAATTACTGTGGGCTGATAAAAAAATTTTGAATTTTTTTTTTTTCGAAGTGTGAGTAAACAAACACATCCGTCTCCGTGTCTCCTCTTTGTCCCCATCTGAGCAGACGTGGTGGCTCACCAGCACGACGGCTCGCCCTTCCGCCGGGGCCGGAAGAAGCGGATACCGTACACCAAGGTGCAGCTGAAGGAGCTGGAGAAGGAGTACGCCGCCAACAAGTTCATCACCAAGGACAGGCGCAGGAAGATCTCGGCCATGACCAACCTGTCCGAGCGCCAGATCACCATCTGGTTCCAGAACCGCAGGGTGAAGGAGAAGAAGTTCGTGGCCAAAGTGAAGCCCAGTGCGCAGTAGCTGCTGTGTCCGTGGGGTCCACTCGGGATTTCAGTCAACACAAACTGGGCCACAAACCAAAAAATAACGGGAAAACGTAAACGTGCATTTCTGAGAAAATACAGACTTTCAGCGGAGACGAGTGTGGATAAAATGAAGTCCAGGAAAAGAACCCCCCGTCAGAGACGTCCTGTAAATACACCCCTCACCCCGGACCCCCTCCCTCCCTGCCTGCCATGATGTGTCTGTGTCTTTGTCTGTAGTGGTGTTCGTGCCCAGTAGCCTGTAGATGTCAACACTTTTACTCTGTCCATAATGTTTATACCGCGTGTGAACCACTAATCCAAAATAAATATTTTAATCTTCATGTATTCAAGCTCTTATATATTTATATTTATATTTGAACCCAAATACCAGGACGTATTTATATATGTGTGTGTGTGTGTGTCATTTGTCTCATGTCAGTTGTTGTGAGTCGATACGCGTGTAAGTTCCGATACATTTCCGTGACACCCGGTACCGACGTGTTTACTGGCGCGTGAATCCGCGTTTGAGTCCGAAAACGTCAACACAACCACGTGACGACAAAAGTAGCTTCCAGAAGAAAAAAAATCAGAAAAACACATTTAAATAATGTATTTTTTAAAATGTGTTCGTAAACATTTTTTCTTTAAAATTCTACATCTAAAAATCCCTGCGTTTATCAAAGTGTAGTTTTGCTTCTAAATAATAAAATATGAATTAATGTATATTGTAATATATCAGTCACAAAAAAAATAAATAATAATAATAATAACTAAACTCGAGCTGACGATACAAATTTTGGAATTCATAAAACTATTAAAAAATAATTAAAAAAAACGCGATACGACCTTAAATTTTGCGTCCTCTCTCTCTATCGCTCTAGGTCTCTCTCTCTCGTTGTGTGTGTGTGTGTTGGGTTTGAAAAGGGGGACGTTTGACCTTGAGACATTTTAAGAGCAGTAATATTCCGTCGTCTGGAGTGGGTTGACACACACACACACACACACAAACAAACACACACACACAAACGTTTATATTCGGTCGTGTTGGATAGAAATATATTTTATGAAAACACGCAGTGGAATATAAAAATAAAAAAATAAATAATTTATGAGTAACAGAAACAGGAGCAACGAGTATTGGAATTTTCCATTAATGCAAAACAATAAAAAAAATAGAAGAAAAAGAAGAAGAACTTAATGAATGATTGTGGAGGAAATTTGAATTAACGTAATTCTGTAAAAACTTAGAAAAATTAAAGAAAGAAAAAAAAAAGGAAAATCCTTTGTTATTGTTGTGCTGTTTAGTTATCAAGGTGAAAAACATATTTTTACACACTCGTTACTTTTGCAGGAACACATTTATCGATACAAACCATATTTAAAAAAACATTAAAAATACGTTGTTGTTTTTTCAGTTGAAAATTTTCAAAAAAATAACTGTGTTTTAGTCACGTAAGAAGTGAATGTGTTGACATGGTACTGTCGTCGGGACTGCAGTACAGACACACACACACAGCCCGGATATTATTCATTCAGCCTTAAAGTTGTCAAATATAGTTTTTCTTCATACATGAAACTGTAAATATATCTTCTGTGATTTCTGCCAATCATATTTCAGGAAACACTGTCAAATCCGAAGCCATATTGTGACCATATTTTAACGGTCGTTAACGTTATTCACCGTTAGCTTGTTAGCTAACACCTAGCTTTACGTCATTACGTCTGAATGTGAGGTTTATTTTCAGCGTTTCCTTTATAATTAAGAGGGTTTTTTTGTTTTGTTTTTTAAAGAATCTGTTCCAAAGACAATGCTGTCTTTATATGGTTTTACTTTGGTTATGGGATGTCGTTTATAATCTCGTTGTCCAGTTTAACGTTTATAAAGATTTCGATTAACTTTTGCGATTTTGTTTGGCAAACTATTGGCTCTTTTTGAAAGAGAAAAAAAAACAGTCTCAGCTAAGTTAGAGTTCACCTTTAGTTACATTTGGAACTAACTTTTAGCTAATTTACTATTCCTACATGAGGCCACTTTTAGACTAAATTTTAATTTTCTTCCCCATTAGATTTTAGCTCTAATTTTGCTGCTTTTCTGAGCTTTCTTTTTCGGTCATTCTATTTCTTTTTCAGTAGTTTTTCAATTTATTTTTTTTAAGTCTCTAACTTCAGACACAACATGTCAGCAGTACAGTCCATGTGTGGTTCCAATTCTCAGTATATGAAGCGTAAAAGGCTAGAATATATTTTAGGAACTTCAAGAAGGTATTTTTGTGTCTAAACTTAAACCAGAACTTGTTGCCAGATTTGATTTTTTTCAGCTATTTGATTTGAGGAGAAGTAGAAGAAACACGTGATGATTAAGAAGTTGAACATGAGCCATGGTAACCATTGTGTGTGTGTG